GGAGTGTGATCTGTGAGATCAAACTGTGTAGTGAGAGAGAGATCTTGTGGGATCGCTGTGTAGACGAAGTTCCGGCTTCCAAACCGGATGTGTTAGTGGATTTCTCCTCGAGAGTGGGGAGCGGGGACGTAGGTCAGCGGGCCGAACCTCGTTAACACATCGCGCGTCAAGGATGTCGCCCGTTGCCTCCCCACGACATCAACCACGTCATTCGCCGTTCAGATCCGATCAGATTCGTCCACCTTAGTGTCGTCGCACGCCACCTGTTTAATCATATGCCAACGCATATTCAGTTGGAGAACCGCCACTTTCTAGCCGCCAGCGAGCCCGTTGGAGCCCCGAGACATTCCAACGACACCCGATGCAAGATCCCAAACCTTGATTATTTTATTTTAATTCTTAGTTTTATCTTAAATTATTATGTGACTCGTCATTCAATTTCTAGATCTGTTATGAGTTAATTAATTAGATTAGTCTGTGATATATTATTACTTGTGTGGGGTTGCTTAACATGAATAGCTATGTGGAAGCTTGTTGTTTTATCACTTAGTTGTTACCCAATAGGAGAGACTGCACATGAAGACGGCTTCTGTTAAAAGTATGATTTATAAGCGTGCTTCAAAGCATGGCTATACTCACTCGATATCGATATCCCGATGTGAGGAGTCCCGAGTTCCCTCGATATCGATATCCCGATATGAGGTTTCCTTGATTATTATTATTATAGCATTAACTAGACGATGCACTCTTGATCAGACGTGTAACGGGTCACGATTATTTTCATAGTTTTACAGAAGACGTTCCACGGTAACTCCGTGGCTAGTGCACGATATTTCATGTACAGTTGCTTAATTAATATGACAAACATGGGATTATAAAGGGGAATTGGACGAAGAATATAGCATGTATATAAACGGGCACAACGCTTTCCTGTTATCGTGATATCGTGAGTGTTATATACATGGGCCAGAGGGCCAATACTTGACTTGAAGGCGCCCCCTGGACGACTTTACGGGGACCCGATTATATACATCAAAATATTCTTCCCCAATTCAAATAACATGTAAAACAAGAATAATATGCTTGCGTGTCTTGTGGTGGACTTTGTTAGTTTTGTTGAGATGTAGACCGATGTTGTTCTTTTCATACATAGATCAGGATTAATATTTAATTATCTACAAATTGAGACTTATGATATATACATAAGGGTTTCCTTGTTTGGATTATTTCGCTCGACGTACTACGTCTCATGTTGTAGATTTTTAGGTATTAATTCAATCTATTGTATGCCCCTGTTACTTGGATGATTAGACTGATCGCTAGCTGCATGATCTCGTTACCTAATCGATTTTGGATGCTTTATGTTTATCATGTTTAGTAGTGTTTTCGCATGTTGATTTTGTCAGATTTCCAGTTGCACGTTCTTTGGTCATTTCTGTTATCGTATCGTTTTCTGCTTGGCTTTTCGCTCGCTCCATTTGTTTTGTGGGGTCTTGCCGTGTGCCATACATGCTGACGTACACTTGTTTTCTCTGGTGTACGTCAGACTTAGAGGAAGAACAGGTTCAGCAAGAGCCAGAGGATTCTCAATAAGAGTGCTAAGTAGACGAAGCAGAAGAAGGAATCGAAGCCTATTCTTTGATGGTTCCAGTTTACTTTTGTAGTTATTTCTTTTTCCATTGATCAATGTATTTTTGTATCTCTTCAGTATTCATTTGTTTAGTTTTGTATAAGGGCATGTTAACCCGAATATTATATCTCGGATGTTATCTCATTTGTGATATGATATTTTTATTCTGAGTTTGTCTATTATATTCTTGCTGATTGTGACCGGGGACCCGTGACTTTGCATTGTATTTATTTCCAGACGCTTAGCGTATTGGATTGAGAAGAAAAAAAATGATATGGTATATTTCTTCTTAATCTAATATGTCGCGGGCTTGTTCACGTTCTGATTCCCAGGTATTTTGGGAAACGGGGCATGACAAAACTTAAATTTATATATCTTAATGAAATGATATCAAACATTTACTCTTTTTATTACCAAATTTTAGCCTTTTGTGATTTTAAACTTTTGAGGGTGTGTTTTGTAAATTTTTTAACTTTAATATTATTTTTTTGAAAATTTTAAATTTTATGTTGGGTGCTTGTAAATTTTATGTTTTATGAGTTGGTGGTAAGTTTTCAAATGTTAAGATGCGGCTTTCAACTCTAAAATTTTGAGCATGTTTTTTACAATTACTAAAAGTTTGAGTTGTTTTTTGATAAATTCAAATTTTCAGCGATCTGCTGATAATTTTCAGATTTGATGTACCGATTATAAACTTAAAAATTTTAGGATTTTTGTGATTTTTAAATTTTGAGGGAGTTTTTGTAGTTTATGTAACTTTGAGGTTATTTATTACAAATTTTAAGTTTTTAAGAGCCTAATGGTAATCCCTGAAATATATCTATGTTGTTTGCAAGTTTTGAAGTCACTGAATTTAGGGTATTTTTTTTCTAATTTGAACTTTTGAGGTTGTTTCTATAATTTTATAAATATTGAGGGTGTAATTGTAATTTTTAAATTCCTCGATGACTATTTTTAATTTTTAAATTTTATGTTTGGTTGTTTTAAGTTTTGAAAAGTCAAGGTATTTTGGGTAATTTTGAACTTTTAAAGATATTTTGTGTGATTTTTGAATTAAATCTTAATCTTATTTTTTTAAATTGCTGAGCTATAGGTAGTTCATGCGGGGTTAATATAGGATATAATTAGTCTTAATCTTATTTTTTTAAATTGCTGAGCTATAGGTAGTTCATGCGGGGTTAATATAGGATATAATTAGTATTTACATAGATTAAGATTTAAATAAAAATATAGGTAGTTCATGCGGGGTTAATATAGGATATAATTAGTATTTACATAGATTAAGATTTAAATAAAAACTTAAAATAATATTTCATGTAGTTTGTTAATCTTTTTTTTAATTGTTGAGGTAATAATAGTTCCTGTGTGATTAGATAAGATATAATTAGAATTAGAATAGATTAAATTTAAATGTAATATTCAAATTAGAGAAGGGTAATATTGACCATAGAAAGATTTTTCTGAACTCGTGCTTTTAAAGGAAGTATGATATGATAATTGAACTTCAAAATAATACATAGTATGAGAAAAGGTTTCTTGTGCCACCCTAGATCTAAGGATGCACCATCAAAACTACATGATGAATCCACATTCATTTTGATCTATACGAGGTTTCGAATGATATACAAATAAAAAGTCAGATATATTGGGTTATAATTATTCATGTATCTAGTGATTGTAAAATTAACGATTTTACCATAATACAATTAAAGAGACAATGGAAAAACATGTATTATAAGCATTGAAACATCATGATTTGTGTTTTGTAGATGTTTTGAGATATTTAGATCATGATAATGAAGCGAATTAAAGTCTAATCCATGTATTAAGAGTTGCATTCTTAGAGGCTAAAATACCAAATTGGCCTAAATAATGCCACCTCTTTACCACTTTGGCATAAAAAGTGATGCCGGCGACAATTTGACCTAAAAGTAACAAATCGGCGACAAATAAACCTTTCCGGTCACCAGTAGCGATTTTTAAGCAAGAAAATTAAGAGATTTTATATATACCCTTCAAATTTCTCATATTTTCTAATTTAACCCCTCAAGTTTTAAAATTTGTAAAAAGAACTCTTCTCTCCCTCCCTTCCCACCATCTTTTCCCTCATCATTCTTGTCATTTCTTTCATTCTTTTTTTCTCTCCAAATCGTCACCATTCTCTCTCATTTCTTTCATATATCCTCACTCTTAAGGAGATTGGTTTTTAATGATTGGAGGATAAAAGAGGCGTAGGAAGCAAGGAGGAAGAGAGAGTGCAAGAAAAGAAGAGACGAATGAGGTTAAGATTTGTTGTGGAATGTTTAATTTTTGGCTGTTTGGGATTTGGATGAAGCAAGTAGGAAGAGAGAGTGAGAGAAAGGAAGACGAGAAGAAGGAATAGGGAATGACAAAGAGGAGAAGATGTTAGGGATTTAGAGTAAAAGAGATTGAAGGAGATGAAGGAAATAGAAAGTAAGTGTGATGATCCATGAAATAAGGTAGGAGAGGGAGTGAAGGAGAAGAGAAGGTTAGGGTATAGGAAGAATAATGGCCTGTTTGAATGGAGGGTGAAGAATGGAAGGGTAAGGAAAAATTTAGTTTACTTTTGTTTAGGAGTTCCATTTAGAAGGGTAGATGAGAGGAATGATAAGAAAAATTAAACTAAAATCTTACCTCCAAAATTGGGGGGTAAAGAATAGGAATGGAAGGAAAAAAAAATTTCTTTCCTTCCCTTCCCTTAGTCATCTCCCAAGCACACTATTAGGGAATGCAGAAGATGGTGGGAAGGAGGAGGAAGAAGATAGTGGAAAAAGAGGATGTTTTTTTTTTCACAAATTTTAGAAATTTAGGGAAA